TGGCCTGCAAAGGGATGCTGGATGGGTCCCCACCCCTGATGGTGCAGTGGGGGCTGTCAAACTGGCATACCCTATTCGGAGGTTGCAACCTCCGACTAGGGTTGCAGGGCCCTGTGCCAGACTTTGATGTGTGTTCCAGACACTGCAGCAAATTTCCTGTCTCCTCCTAGCTTCCTCTCTCCCTGAAGGAGAATATGAAGTTGTCACTCACTCAGATGAAAGAGGAGGGGGCCCCCTCGGTCTGGCTCAGCGAGTACCATTAAAAGAAACCCGAGAGATAACACACACCAAGGTGAGCTGGGACCTTCCTCCTCTGTGCTGGGGGAAGGGCACAGAGGAGATGCATGGGGGGATTCCCCAGCAGCAGCGGCACTGAGGATTGTGGGTAGAGCCAGGCAGTCCCAGCCTGGATCTCAGCATGTTAACTTGGTCCTGGTTTGCCCTAGATGGACCCAAGGCCCTCTCCAGAGTGGTACTGGCCTCTGTTTACCAGGTGTCCGGGGCCTGCGAGTGAGAGGTCACAGTCTGGTATACATCTGTATCACCATCAGATCAGTGCTGAGAGTAAGATGGATCTGAGAGTTCATTCTTTCACTCCACAAGGGTTTATTGAACAGCTACTGTGTGCCAAGCAATGTTCTAGGTTCTGGATATACAGTAGGAAATAAGTTCACATTCTAGAAGGGGGAGACAAAAAATAAACACACGCGTAAAATATATAGTAGGTCAGATGGTGCTAAGTTATCTGTTTAAAAAAAAGAAAGTAAGGCACTGAAAGGGAAGGAGAAGTGGAAGGGGGTGATTGGTACTGTAGTTTCAGGTAGATCGGTCAGGGGAATCTCACTGAGGCGCGGCTAAGTGAAGAGCAGAAAGAGTTGAGGGAGTGAGCCATGTAGATAATCTGGGGGAAGAACGTTCCAGGCCACAAGAACTGCAGATGCAAAGATGGCATGTACCTGGTGTGTTTAAGGATCAGCAAAAAAGCGAGGCTGAAGCAGAGTAAGAAGGAAAGGAAGTGAGAGGTTAGAGCAATGACAGAATCAGGTTGGGTAAGGATTTATAAAACAGCGTAAGATCTTGACTATTACTTGGAATGAGTGCAAAGCCATGGGGAGGGGGGATGAACAAGGGAGGGACATGACTTGATTAGATCTCAAAAGAATCACACTGGCTGCTCAAGTGAGGACAAGAAAGAGCAATGCCAAGCGGGAGGGATCACTCTTCCACCTTGTTCTCCACAGGACGGCCGTGACTCCTGCCTGATGCCCTCCCCTGGCCAAGTGATACCACCTGCCATCACCCGGCCATCACCCTTTGGACGGGCTCAGCGTGTGCCTTCCCCTGGCCCCTCAGCTCCAGTTTGTATCCACAACTCCTGGGGGCTGGGATCACTGCGAGGTCTCGGTTTTGTCCCTGCCCAACCACCCCCATCTCTCCCCAGACCTCATATTCAGTGTTGCGGCGTCTCGCCATCCGCCCCAAAACCCAGTTCACACCCCTTCCATCGGCCCCCAGAGCTCAGCAGGTGAGAGAGGGCAGGGGAGGTAGCTGGCTTAGGCCAGGGCTGGAGGAGGAAGGGGATGGATGGGTACAGGGAAAGTCATGGCATCTCACTTCTGTCCCAGGCCCAGTGGTTGAGTGGCCTCTCCCCTCATCCTTGCCCTGAAGAGCCTGCCCTGCCCTGGGTAAGTATCTGAAACCTTCCCATGCTGAGATTCCTCGCTCTGTCCCGTTGGCCTGAGGCCCAGCAGTTTTGAAGCAAGTGGGCTCTCTGGAAAAGCTGCCTGACTCTCCAACTCCCCCTGCCTCTCTGCTGCCCCTCCTAATCCAAGTCTAGGGCCGCTCAGTTAAGGACCTGACCCCTTCCTCACTAGCTTGAAGACCCAAACTAGTCTTCTTCCTACTCCAGTCTGTCTTCCTCATGTGGCCCCTCTCCTCCCATGTGGCAGGAGCAGATTGCAGTCCGGTTATTTGACCAGGAGAGTGGTATAAGGTTGCAGGAGGGTCCTGGGAAGCCACCCGTGTCAACTTCTTATGGACCCCACCCCAGTAGAACCCCCAACCTCCAGGAGCTGAAGCTGCAGGTGGGCTGGTGTGGGCAACAGCTTTGATGCCTGATGGGCAGTGACAGGGCTGGGAAAGCGAGAAACGGCGGGGGTGGGGGTGGGCATGGAAATAGGACAGTGTGGGTACAAGACTTGCACCCACTTCTTGACATCACACTCTGTCCCACCCACAGCGCATCAGTATCCTGCAACAGCTTTTGCGACAGGAGGTAGAGGGGCTGGCGGAGGGCAAGTGTGCCCCCCTTAATGGAGGCTCCTCTCTGGATATGGTTGAACTTCAGCCCCTGCTGGCTGAGATTTCTAGAACTCTGAATGCCCCAGAGAATAAATCTGGGGCTTTTCATCTTCCTGGAATGTTACAGCACTCTGGGTTGCCCAAACCCTACCTTCCAGAGGGGTGTGGGGAACCAGAGCCCTGCCCTGGAGCAGAGCCCGAGGTAGCTCTGCTCTGCCCTCCAGCAGAACCAGGGCCCCCAGAGTCCTACCATAGGAGGGGGCCTGAGATATCAGAGCCCTCCACCCAGGAGGCATCAGAGCCCTGCCCTCTGGGAGAGCCTGGACCCCTTCAGGCCTGCCCCCAGGGGCAGACAGGACTCCCAGAGCCCTCCCCTAGGGTAGAGCCTGGGGTATCAGAGGCCTGCTCCCGGGAACCCAGAAGTCCAGAGTCCAGCCCATGGTCCTGCTGCAGTCAGTGGGCTCCAGCGACCACCAGCCTGACCTTCTCCTCCCAACGCCCACTTTGTGCCAGCCCCCCTATCCACTCACTCCAGTCTCTGAAGCCCCCAACAGGCCAGGCAGGTAAGGAGTTGGTTGGAAGGGGTTGTGAACAAAGGAGGTCCTCATCTCTCGCTGGGAGCAGGGCCTGCCCTGCACCAGGTGATTCTACGCTTTCTTTCCCCTACGTCCCTTGCCCCAGTCTGGCTCTCCCACAGGAAGAAGTGGGGGGCTGCACCTTCAGCCCTGTGCTCCTAATTGGCTTGGCCCTTGGTCGGGGAGTGGGAAAGGGCAGTATATGGTGGGAGTCTAGGACTCCAGAGTCTGCCCTGATCTCTCTGTGGCCTTTGGCCCTCAGGCCCCAGCAATCTGGCCCCTCGAACCCTGGCCCTAAGGCAGCGCCTCAAAGCATGTCTGACCGCCATCCACCGCTTCCACGAGGCCCGACTGGACGACGAGTGTGCCTTCTACACCAGCCGAGCCCCTCCCTCAGGCCTCACCCGGGTCTGCACCAACCCTGTGGCCACATTGCTCGAATGGCAGGATGCCCTGGTGAGCCTCCAGTCCACAGCCAGCTATGCCTGTGGGAAGTAGGAAGTAGGGCAGGGGGCCATCCTCAGCTCCTTTACAGAGGTCAGGGGGAAGAGCTGGTTACAGTTCAAGGACAGCTGGGCTGTGACGAGGTCAGGGGGAAGAGCTGGTTACAGTTCAAGGACGGCTGGGCTGTGACGAGGTCTTCTCTCTCCCTAGTGTTTTATTCCAGTCAGTTCTGCTGCCCCACAGGACTCTCCGTCATGAGGCATACGCCTCCACCCACTCCTGTCCTGCCTTGCACCTTCCTTTTAACCCTTATTTATTTTCCACACCATGTACTGGGAGCTGACACCCTTTTGTCCTTCAATAAAGTTTCTAAAATGTCCAAATGTCTGTTTTCCTCCGGTCCTACTTAGGCCAGCTACTGCTGTTTCTCCTCAATTGTCCACATGGTGGCAGTGTCCTCCAGCTTAGAGGCCAGCCCTGGGTTCTCAGTCTTCCCCAGGCTCCCTCGCCCAGAAGCTGTCCAGGTCATCCCACTCCTGCACACCCCACCCTCCCAGCAAGCACTATGAGTGAGTGGTTTTTTTTTTGGGGGGGGGCGCGAACGTGGGCCTTTGGGGAGCTGCTTTTCTCCTTGCTCCCTGAGATCTTGGCCGCTCCCAGGAGCCGTCAGCAACTCCTGCACCGCCTAGAGTTCCCTAGAACCCTCCCCCTGCCTCAGCAGAAAGCAGAAGCACCAGACCCATACCTCTGGAATCCTCCCTTGCTAGTGGCCCTCTGGTTGGCGTCTCCCTACAGTGTAAGGCCTCAAAGCTCTCCTGAAGCTGATACCCTTCCCCGTATCAGAGTAGAAACCCTGGGCTACTCCCCTCCTCGGCTTCCCCAGAGGCAGGCCTTGCCAGGAATAATGAAACCTTTGCCTCTGGCAGAGAGCGATAGGGTAGGGGTCCTTGAGAGGAGTGAGGAAAGGGTCAGCCACTTTCCCCCACTCTGTGCACCGAGTTAAGAGGCACACACATTCTCCCGCTTCACTTTATTGGAAGAGGCAACAGCAGCTGTAGCCCCAGGGCCTAACCCCCGATGGGGGTGAAATGGGGACTGCAGGATGAGTTTTAAATGCTAGGAAAGAATTTACTGGTTCCTCCAGTTCACAGGGAGGCTGCCAAGGCTAGAGCCTGAAGCCTGAAAATGGAGATGAGGGGAGGAGGGGATGGCAGAGAAGTTGTCATGACAGAGGACCAGCGCCTACCCGCCCTGATGTCTCCTCCCGCCTAGAAGGGCTCCTTCTGTTTCTGTTCTCTCCCTCCCCAAAAGCCAGGGCTTCCCTTCTGTTTTCTGCTTTCCATGCCTCTGTGCTGCAGTTAGTGAAACTGTTTCCTAGCTCCCGAGAGAAGAGAGGGCCACGACCTGCGCCCCCCTCCTGGCCCGGCTTTCACAAGCATGTGCGCGGATGCTGGTGGTCCCTTCCCAAGCCGCTCTGCTCCTCCGGCCGGTTTCCTCAGCTCCCCAGCCACTCAGTTATACCCCGGAGCACCAAGAGTCCGCCCATTAAAGGCCACCTCCGGGAGCAGGAGGGTCCGTCCCACCCCCAGTCTCTCAAAGGATGGGGTGGCGCCTTGGGTGGGGCAAGCTGAAGGTGGGTGAGGGGGGTAGCGGAGGGGGGGGCGGGGGATGGGGCCCGACTCAGTCCGGGTAGATGATGAAGCCAGAGAAGGTGCTGTACTTGTTGGTGTTACCGCCGTGCACCTTCCCGCCGTCCAGCTTGATGAAGACTTCATCTCCCACATCCAGGTGCAGGATGACGCTGTTGCTGGCGTAGTCGTAGTTCTGGTCCGCGTCCTGAGCAATGGCGCTGGCCCGGACCTAGAGAGGGGGAACAGAACAACCCACTCATGCCCTGTGTGGAGCTGGGGTGATGAGGGGTCGGCCGAGGAGATGCAGCTGGGCCTGTGAAGGTGACGCGAGGGTAGCAGGCTGCAGGGTTTGGGAAGGACAAGGTGCTTCGCAGGCACTGCCATTCACTAGCTGCTGGGACTGGGGCAAGTTTCACGCTCTCTGTGGTCCTTAATTTGAGCTATAAGGTAGGAGGTAGTAATAGAACCTACCTCCTCAGGTTGTTAGGGTTAAATGAGTTACTACGTGTGAAGTGTGTTACAAAACAGCGCTTTGCACAAAGAAAATGCTATATAGGTTTTGCTATTATTATTATTTAAAAAATAAAATTAGACTGTAGGATAATTTTTAAGATTCTGAACCCACTCGGACCTTCTAAACTTGGGGTCCCTTCCCCCAGAGATAGGGCACAGGTGTGTCTGTGCGTGTGTAAGCAAGGGTGCAGGCTGTGGGAAGATGCCATGATGTATCCTCAGCCCTCCTCGATTGTCCCTCCTAGTGCCCGCGGGCGCCCCGACGTGGGGGTCGCCTTCCGCCCAAACAGGTAGTGCCTCTTCCCCTCTGGCCTCGCTGCTGTAGGTCGCCTCACCGACGCCTCAGCGTCGCAGCCAGCCCCCTCCCCAGCCCCCCTCTTCCTGTCCCAAGGGGGCTGGTTATTAACTGATTAATTATTCATCATTATTCTAATCACTATTTACCTTCCCCAAAGCCGCAGCGCCCGCACCGCGGAATACAGAGTGGGAGCCGTGTGGCCCCCGCCCCCTCGGGAAGCGACGCACTCTAGATACATACTCCCCCCCCGCCCCTCACAGACACGCCGTACAGACCACACACACCTACTCAGTGCCACAGGCAAGCAGCCACCGCTCTACTCTCGCACCTTCGCACCCTGCACCCACAGACACACTCGAATCACGCACACACACGCTACAGTCTTACACACATACACTCTCACTCCCTTTCCCTGGGCTCCTGGGGCGGCCCTGCTTGGGGGAGACCTCAATGTAGTGCCTTCGGTTCTTGGAGCGGAAGGGTGCTGCAGCGGTAGCAAGACCTGGGGTTCGGACAGGTGGGATAAGCAGGCCTGATGCGCCACGGTCAAATCACCCCATCGCGCACAGGGCATTCGGAGGTCACAGCTCAGCCCTAACCTTACACCCTGCGGCTTGCGTGGCCCAGGCACATTTCCCCAGCCCCACCCCTGTGGCCTCTGGCTCCCCCTAAGCGTGTCCTGGACCTTGAGCTGAGTCTTTGGGACTTTTCTTCCAAGCTAAGGCAGCAGTGACTCCGACTCTGACCACAGGAGCAGGGACCAGGCCGGGGTCCAAGGCTTCTGCTTTATCTGTTCTTGCCTCTTCCCTTCTCCCAAATTCGTTCCTGCAAGCCGCCTGGCTGGCCCCAGTGCTGCCTCATTTTCCACCTCTGCCTATGGACTCAGTATTAGCTGAGGGTAAGGCCCACTCTAGAATTGACCTCAGGCCCTGGGACTAGTAATAGAGTTGCCTGGAAAATGAGACAGTGTTTTCTTTCTTTTTTTACCTTATCCTTGAAAATCCAAGCTTAATGACCCCCATACGGGAACAGATACCAACTGCCCACAGCGTGATACCCGGACTCCATTCTAAATCGAAGGAGCCAGACTCCGGTAACTCGCCCATCAAGTGGCTGGGTAACCCAAAGGCCAGGAGGGCTGCCCAAGACAGGTGAAAAGAGGCTAAGAGGCAGGGTGAGATACCAAAGAGGTTTGGTGTATAGTTGCCTATAGTTGGAGTGTGAGGCTCTGAGTTTTAATTCTGACACCATTCCTAATGCTCCATAAGACCCTGGGCAGGTCGTTTTCTTTCTCTGGCCCCCCAATTCCTTTTGGACTAAATGAAGCGATTTCTAAGTTCTTGGCAATGTGGCCTTCTTGGATTTAGTGACGGTGTTTGGGGAAGAGGTTCGGGTTGCGTAATGAATGCAGGGAGAATTAGAAAGCTACCCTGTCTGGGGCTGGGTGGGAGAGGGGCAGCTCACCTGTCCATTCTTCATCAAGTCCGCCCACATGCTGGTGCCGTCACCGCCGCGCATAAGCACATGGTAAGCGAAGAAGTAGACACCTGGCATGGGGCAGGTGAACTTGCCACTGGCTGCCTCGTAAGCGTTGCCCACGTTGGTCACCACGTCGTCGAAGCGCAGCACTTCGTAACCTTCGTGTGGCCGCCGCAGGCCAGCATAGAAGGCAATTCGAGGCACGTAGCCGGCAGGGGGCGCTACCCCGCCGGGGCCTGGGCCTGGAGGGCCCGGGGGACCTGGCCTGCCCGGCTCTCCTGGAGGTCCTCTGGGACCTGGTGGTCCCGGGGGCCCTCGCAGACCTGCCTTCCCGCGCCGGCCCACCTCTCCCTTGGCGCCCTGAGAGAAGGGGGGTACGGAGGCGGGCGCGCCGTCGGGTCCTGGGCCTCGCGGCCCGTGGGGGTCGCACACCATGCGGCAGCGACCCAGCATCTCGTAGTGCGCCGGCCCGCGGGAGCTGTGCACTAGCAGCGGAATGGCCACCAGCAGCAGCAGCACCATGGCCACCCCGACGGCCGCGCCCGCCACCCTCTTGCGGCGGCTCAGCCGCGACGCGGCCAGGGCCAGCAGATCCTCCTCACTCTTGGGTGCAATGGTGGCGGAGGCCCGAGGCTCTCCGCGGGCGCCAGAGGCGGTGACCGGGCTCGGGCCTGGGTCGGGATCCCCCCGACGGCTGCGCCCGGCCCCCCCGCCCCTGTGGGCTCCCGCCTCAGTGGTGCCGTTCCCCAAACCTTCCGTCAAGGCGGAGGTCCCCCCGTTGGTTGGACCAGGGACAGCTCCCGACAGCTCACAGTCCGTGGTCCTCTATTACCCTCTCGTTCAGTCTAACGTTCCCAGGCGCCTGAAATCGGTGGCTTCTCGGACGGCTGGTTTCTTACAGATCTAGGATGCCTGCCCTCCGGACAGCTGCTTTCTCGAGGATGGCGGCGCCTAGGTCCCCGGCTACCCAGACGGATAGCTCCCGGCCGGAGCTGGGACTACTCTCCGCGCTCTGGACGTCCGGGGCTCTGCGCTGCGGGTGGCGCCCACCGGACGCGACCTCCTCGCAGGTTTGCGCTCTGGCTCTTGGCGAGCCTTGACCCACCTTTCTACCCTAGCCGCGGCCCCAGCCCCTGCTGAAGCCCTGGCCCCGCGTCTCTCTCCAGCTAGCGCTCTCCCTCTCTGCGTCCCTAACCTTCCTCCCCTCCCTCCCGGAGCGGCAGTGCGGGTGGTGTGAGCCGCGACGCGGCGGGAGCCGCTCTAAGAGGCCGCGGCGGGGGGGGCGGGGGCGGAGCGACCCCTGGCGCCCAGAGAGGGAAGCGTGGAGGCGGGGCAGGCCACGGCCCCCACCCGCGTCCCCCCAGCCTCTCGGTTCCTGACCGGCTCTAAACCAATTCTGCAGGGATTCACTGCCCTCACCCTATCCTTACTTTCACCCTCTACCCTGAGTTTGGTATTCTCAGAGCCCGGAGGAGGCCAGAAACGGGGATGGGATAAAAAGCGGTGGAGATGCACACACACAGAAGACAGACGTGGATTCCAGAGCTAAAAAGAGCCCTCCCCGGCTCCCCCCCTCAAAAAAAGAAAAAAGAAAAAAAGAAAAAAGCCCACGAGCAAACAACAAGGACTAGAAAAAAATAGAAATTCGCCACTCAGTGCCCGTGACCGAATAACATATGGTAAAGGGTTCAACGGGTACGGGTTGGCCTGAACTGGAAAAGGCAAATCTCCAGGCACCTCTACCCTCGACCCCCAGTGTTGGCGGAGGGGGCCGCAGAGCAATCGAGAGAGTGAGGGAACAGAGAGAGTGAGAAAACAGACCAGCCTGGGAAAGCGAGCAGGAAACCGACAGGAAAGCAGAGGAGCTACAGAGAAATCAAAGGGATGCAAAGCCACATAGAGACGCAAAGACAGAGACAAAGCTTGAAAAAGAGACTAAATGACAGCCCCAGAGGGGGAGAAGGAGAGACAGAGACGGAGAGAGAGAGACAGGAGCCAAGACAGGTTGACAGATCGAGAGAGAAATGTAAATGGCGCGCTGCAGAGAGACACCCAGGTCCGTGTTCGGACTCCAATGTGACATATCAACTGTGGGGACGACGTGGAGGCGGGGCGCTTCTTGGAGCGGTGTGGTAGGCTCTGGGCCTGTGCATTGTGACAGTGTGCTGGCAAGTGTGGACGTGTCCATGGGACCCTGGCCTTGTGTGTCCCTGGGTGAGTGGGATTGTGGATTGTGGATTGCCTTTGTGTGTGTGTGTGTGTGAGGGCTGTTTGAAGGGAGGTTTTATATTTGTCTTCCTCTTAGTCCCTAAATGTGGAACCCCATGAATGTCATCTTTCTTATCTCAGGACTGAAGAGTAGAGAGTTTACTGGGGAGAAAGAGTCAGAAGGCAGCTCTTGCCCTGGCAGCCCAGCCCAGTCCCACCCCTGCCCTGGTCCCAGACCTTGTCCAGCCCCAGGATCTCTGCCCCTTCACCCTTCCACAAAGGGCTGTGGTTAGATGGAAACTCAGAGAAGTTGGACCCCACATAATAAATGTTTGGGGGAGGGATTTGAAATTTGAAATTGGTTATGCAAAGTAATATAACTAAAATGCAGTTTCAGTGCTAGGCACCCACCTGTGAGGGGTGGCTGTGTCTGTCATCCGGGTGACCAAGAGGAAACACAAGCTTTGATAGGTCCCTCTCTGTGAGGGGTCTGCATCCTTCCTCAGGGTCTCGCCCCTCTGGGAGAAATTTCTTGCTCACAGGGACTCCAGGGCCAGAGGCCTGGAGAAGAGGTTCCAGGACTGGCGAAAGTGGGGTATTTGGAGGCCCTGGAGGTGGACAACTGCAAAGGATCTCTTAGAGACTAGGGTAAGCCAGTACTGTAATGTATAAGAGTACATTATGTAAAATGGAGAGCACAGGGCACATCAGGGCATAATTATTGGGTGGAAGATGATTTCCTCATCTCTTGTTTCCTGTACTCTTTCCCTGCCCCTCCCAGCCCGTAACGGTGCAGGAAGAAGGAGGTTGCTGAGGACGGGCCTGTGTGGAGGGAGGCCCCTACATGCTTGAAAGGGTTGGGAGAGAAAGGATTGGCAGTCAGTGGGGGTGGGGCCTCCTCCAACCATAAATACAAATTTTATTCAAGGTCTTTGTTGCCATTTGTCTTCCTCGGGGGGCTGAGGGCCATGTCGGCCCGTGCATGTCTAATTCCGAATCTGCTCCCCTAGGCTGGATGATGGATGGATCAGAGAGGAGAGAGCAGGCCAGGGCTCACACTGACCTCACCACCCGATCCTCAAGCCTCATCGGCCCCAGGTCCTGCCACCCCTCTCCCTCCTCCTCCGCCCTCTCCTGCCACCCACTCACTAAAGGCCCTCTCTGCTCAGCCCCGCTCCCCACCCCTACTCTCCTACTAACCAAGGCCCTCTTTTTGAGCCCCTCACCTCAGCCCCTTTCAGGTCCTAGCCCTCTTCTCTCGGAGCTTCCCTTCTCCTCCCATCCCCAGCCCAGGCTGTGAGCTTCGGTGACCAGCAGGGCTGCAGGCGGCAGCGGGTGTGTATGGTGGGGGAAGCAGGCTTAGCTCACAGGGAGCTGAGGGGCCAGCTCCATGAATTTATTCATGTTCTGTTGCTCTTTCCCCACGCTCTGGAATGAAGCTGCCAGCTCACCAGGTCCTTGCTGCTTCCTCTGCAGCTGTCAACGTTCGGCAGAGAAGGGACCTGGGTAGGGTCAAGGCCAGCTAGTGCTCCTGGGGCCAGAAGCCAAGTGTCTGGGCTCAAGAGGAAATACTGGGGCCCAGGCTGGGGTCTGGGACAATTTACCCAGAGCTCCTTGGGCAGCCAGACTGGGAGGCCCCAGGGAGGTGGTGTGGTTGGGAATGCGATGTAGGCCGAGACGTGTGCTGCAGGACATAGAATGGGCAGTGGAGGAGGGGAGAGGAGAGGAAGACTGAGTTCCCCAGGCTCCCCTATTTAAAAGCACAGCCCAGACTGAATCCTGCCTTACCCTCTGCCCTTGACTCTGCACTAACCCTGACCCTAATCCCAAAGTATACACTTGACTCCTCTCCAATCCTAAAATGAATCCTAACTCCATAACCTGACTTTAAATAGAACCCGTCCCGACCTGTCCTGTCCTGGAACCTAGGGGTCTCCCAAGAATTTCCCCCAGGGCTTAGGGCCAGGTGTGTGTCAGAGTTCTGAGGACCAGACTTTAGATTAGCATGTGATTAGCATATGATTTGCATGTGATATGTGCCTTCTACTCTGAGGAAGTTTTCTTGTTAAAATTTTATGAAGTCTAGCGGAAAGGTCCTGGCTCCTTGAAGTTTTTCTCTTTTTGTTCCTTCTCCCACACTCCTTATCGCTGACCCAGACCCCTTCAAGGGAAGAAAGGGGGTGAGGAAATGAGCAGTAGGAAACTCATGGGAGGAAAGATGCTGGTAGAGTGATCTACCCCTGTCACTTGCAGTATAACCTCCACAAGCCTCAGTTTCCTCATCCATAAGAGCAGAGGAACCAGCTGGCTGATGTTACATTAAGATCTAAGGAAATGCACTCCACCGCCTGCCGCACCCCGCCCTCTCTCCTTCCTCACCCTTCAGGGCCGTCTATAGTGTGGTTCTTCTCCACTTCCCTCCACCCCACCCATACACACACTCTGGCTCTCAGCTCCTACATGTAAGATCACACAGAACTGGAAGCAACCTGGGTTGCCTGGTACCAGACCCCTGGTATGAAGAGAAGGGAAAAATGCCCACCTGAGAGGACAGGGAATAACATGGATAGGGAAATAACATTACTGAGTGCTTACAGCATTTTAGAGCTTTTACTTGAGAGTTACTGCATCCTCGATGCATCCCTGAGAGGATGTATTGTCTCCATTTTACAGATGAGGAAACTGAGGCCTGGAAATGAGGAATGCCTTGTCCTGTATCACCTTGTAAGTGGCAGCCCTAGAACTGGAGTTCCCATCTCCTGGCTTCCTTGTCACTGCCCTGGAGAAGAGAAATGACACCCAAGGCAGTGGAAGGGTGAGAGAAGCAGGACAGGAGTGGGGAGAGAGATTTGAATTTGTCTCAGTGGAGACCTATGTGTGTGAGGCCAACGGGGCAGGGCCTTGGCTCAGGGTGTCCCCCATCCCCCACCCCCAGCGCTGACACACAACAGGTGCTCGGCTGTTAGCTAAAGGATGTCGGGCGAAGTCAGCTGCGGAGAAGAGCTGTTCAGTCCGAAGAGGAGAGAAAAGGGAGGGAGAGGGAAACGAAGCGAACTGCAGAAAAATGTGCTCAAGAGGCCAAAGGCAGGAAAGCTGGCCAGAGTGCTGAGGACCGCTCTCCACTCACCACTGGTGGGAAAACAGTAGCGGCCCAAGAGCCTGCGCACACTTTGCCCTCTGGCGCAGAGGGTCGACAGGCCCCAGCGAGCGGCGAGAGAGCAAGTATGCCGCCAGGCCTAGGGCTTCTACTCATCCGCCGCACGGATCCCCTGGCACCGCAGCTCAGTGCAGCCTGAGGTTCTAAGGGCCGCCGCCAGAGCCCACGGGGCTGAGAACAGGCTCCTGGCTCCACAAGGAGGGGCTAGATATTGTTTCCAAGGTATCTGTCAGGCCAGCCCTTGACCCCTGGCCAGGTGCGGCTCCCCGCCATAGCCTCTCTCTCCACCTCATTTTGCTCCCCTCTCCCCGCGCCGTCCACCAACTCCAGCCTGCAGTTAATG